CTGTCCCTCAGACCTTGTGGGGGGCCGGACTATATTTTGGAGGAAAAAATGAACCGCCACAGGGGGGCAGGAGATGAAGAAGAAAGAGCCAGAGTCGGGAGCCCCTGCAGCCACAGTCCCTGCTGCGGGAGGAGGACCCAAGCACTGCCGCCTCGCTGGCCACGACTCCCTGTTGGGCCCCTCACTGCTCCTTTCCCCTTCCTCGTGCCTCACCAATGCCACAGGTGGCCTGGGCAGGGACAGCAGACACCGCTGCTGCTGAAGCTGCCCCTCCCGGCCCGCTCGCCAGCCCAGGCTGAAGAGGAAGGTGCCCAGGCAGAGAGAAAGAGGGCTTCAGCCCGGCACCTCTGAAGTGGGTGGGCGGCAGGCAGGATAGGGAGAAGGGAGACCGCCGGGGTGGAGGGGAGGTCCACCATCCATCCAGGTGCAGAGACCCCGCCTCCTCCTCTGCCTTCCCTTGGCCAGGAAGCAGCGTCTCTCCTGGACCCTGTCCCCCCGGGCTGGGCTCTTCAGCATGGGGGCGAGAGCGATGACCAGAGCAGCAGCAGCCCCAGGAAGGAGCTGAGCAGCAGCACCGTGTGCAAGAGGAAGCCCAGCTTCAGCTGCAACCTCAGCGCCAGCCCCACATGCCCGCCAAAGCCGCCAGCCCCTCACTGCTCCATCCCGCATCACTCTCTGCTCAGCCCCCCACTGCTGTGGGAGCCATGGGTGGCTGCGTGTTGGCGGTGGCTCAATGAATGAAAGGCCATGTTGGAGTTCACCAATCAGTTCCCGCACCGCTGAAAAGCCCGGCTGAGATGCTTGCCACCCCGCAGACACTTGACGGGTTTTCAGATGGCCGTTCCAGTCCAGATTCACAGCCCTTTCAGGCCGCATCTTGCCCCTGGGCCATAGTTTGCCGACCCCTGCAATATTCATTCATGATTCCCCATCCACCAGATGCCTAGCCAATCAAGAACTATCATTCAAATAGCTGTCAAACCGACTACCAATCAGAAGAATCCATTTTGACAGCAACAACGATACACTTATACAATAGCGCCCCCTAAGAAGGGCTCCCCTGGAACTGCAGCTGTCAAAGCCTGCGTTGCAGACCCAGCTCAGGTGAGGGGAAGTCTCTTCTTAGATTCTCATCCACCTATGTTCAACTTATATCGACGTGTATAGAGCTCAGCTGAGGGGAAGTATGCGGAACTTTTAAAAGGAGAAGCACCCTTTGTTTGGGGGTTCTCTCTGCTCCTTGCAGCTTGAAGTCTTGTTGCAACAATAAAGATCAGGCCTCCTAACTGCTGTTCTGCTTCATTATCTTGGCCAGGGCCTTTTGTTTAATGATCCAACTTAAGCCAGGGAACACCCCACAACAGGTGGAATCTCACCGTTTAACACTTCAAAACCTGCAGTTCCGCATCTGACCTCCGGGGAGGCAGTCAGTTCCCTAAGATGCTTACAGAGTTCAGGTTCTGCTCTCTGTGCATTGGTACCTTTCTCAGTCTCCTGCCATTACTCTCCCTCGCAGACACCTAGATCTTAACATCTTTCGTTAAAGGGGTGGGGTTTGAGAAAAAGAGCAGGGGCCCCCCTCCAAAATGCTTCCTGAGGTTCCAGAGGCCTCTCCAACCATTCCCCTGGCATTGTGGGCCAGGACTATGGATGGCACCCCCAGCAGTACGACTTCAGGATCCATTAACCCTTTCCTGTCTGATCACTCATCTTACAACACTGTGAAATCCTTTTAAGTGCTAAGACGTTGCCACAACCAGTCTATACAGATGAGGGTTGCTCCAACTCACACCCTCAACACCCACCCACTGCTGTTCAGGGAGGCTCCCCCTCCCTCCTGCACAACTGTTCATGAAACACACATTTAGAACCAAGTTGAATCTCAGTGTGATTGTAGCAATTCTCAGCAGATGGTGCAAATCTGCTGGGAAAAGATTCCCAGCAGATTTGCACCATCTCCTCCCTGAGCAAAAGGTGCATAAAAACCTCCCAGGTCCAATTTCTGCCTTCTGGAGATGCCCTCCCCTTCTACCTGCTGCTACCACAGGAACAGGTAAATACAGGGAATAAGAACATAAGCAGAGCCTGCTGGATCAGACCAATGGCCTGTCCAGTCCTGCATCCTGTTCTCACAGTGGACAACCACATGCCTCAACGGGAGACCTGCAAGCAGGATCTGAGCACAAGAGAAATCTCCCCTCCTGCGGCTTCCAGCAACTGCTACTGAATTTCAGAAAAGTCCTTGGATCTTAATGGGGAAAGGGCGAAACTGTTAATCTTGGTTTCTCTCCGTTTCTCCTTGTTCAGCCTTCTGCTTACTTTGCCCCATTTCTGCACCAGTTTCTGATTTATTTATTGAAGTAAGTGCTTCAGTACCAAGTAAGTGCTCACAGATAGGATCGTGCTCACTTTACAGTTTGGTTCTTTCTGCTTTTCTTGGGGAGTAAGTCTGCCTGGGTCCAACCATGGAGCTTTACTTTTAGGTAAATGTGTGCATAAGATTGTGTGGGCTTACTCAAGAGTAAGTCTAACTGAGTTCACTTTCTCCATGCAGCTGATGAGATCTTTCTCCTCATTCAAAGCTGTTCTTCAGAGGGTGTCAAGGGAGCAGTTTATTAGGAAAATATCCAATTGACTAATAAAAATTCTTAACATAACTATAAAATGTCCAGCCAAATGGGTGAGGTATATATTAGTATTGTTATTATTATTCATATCCAACATTTAACATTCAAAATTCCTGACATTGGTTACTTTATATAAGTACCAGTACTTTAAATTTAAAAAATGATTAGCTTAAGCAACCTTAATGTTGCCCCTGCATAAACATTTACATTATGGTCACACAGGTTCCCTCCCCCCATCTAAAAAAAAACCCCCCACAAAATTTAGTCACAGAAATATTTTAAACTCAGGTAAAATGAAATATAAGCATCGTACAGAACCTAATGGCCTTTTTTTCAAGATGTACTGAGGGATTTACATTTTGAACAAAGCAATCGTGTTTTGGATGGATATGACAACCAAGGATGCTAACGGGGCCTACCTTCAGATGCTGGCCTCAGCACACTCCAGGACCGAGGTTATCTCTGATGGGCCTGGCATTGTGACCTTGAAGGAAAAGGGGTTTGGGAATGTTTGGATCAGTTTTCCTCATCGCTGGTGCCAGAGAAAATGAGGTAGGAGGACGCTGAGTAGCCCAGGAGAAACCAGCTTGCCAGGAGGAGTCAAAATGAGACTCTTGTGCCAAATTCAGAGGGCAAGAGACTGGAGGGGTGCCATGCAAACGTTTCAGCAAACTCTGGGCCTGGTACCCAATAGGCAGTCCTAGAAACTGTAGATAAGAGCTGAGCGAACAAAGAGTTACTGTAAATGCATCAGAATATTTGATCCCTTGGCATCAGAAGTTGAGGGAACTGAGACTTGTTATATTGGGAAGGGGGGAGTCTAGAGTGAGTCAGTAGAACCATATAATGATAGCATTGGAAGGGATCCCTGAATGCCGTATAGTCCAGTCATTTCTGCTCACTGCAGGAAATCCAGAGCTGGGATATCCCTAAGAGCTGGTTGCTCATTCACTGCTTGAAGAGTCTCCCAGAAAGGAAGCTGAGCCCACCCCACCGTTGCTCTAGGTAATTTGGAGGGACCAGGAAAAGTCCACTACAAGAAGTGAAGGCTGCTTATATTTTACTTTTCTGCCTCTATCTACTTTTCTTGCAGCATCTCCATCAATTTGACATCATTCACAAACAGAGGGCATCCTCCTGCTCCCCAATTAGATAATTCCTCTAATTGTTTGTCTTTTGGCATCATTGCATTGGTTTTCACATGGTGTTCCCAGCTGCTTTGGGCTTCCTTTGGGTAAGAAAATTGAATTCAGCTGAATCAAAGAAATGGATGGGGATAGTAGGGTTAGTAGGGAGACCCTGGAATAAAAAGTGTTAATTATTGACACTCATGTTTCTCCCATGGGTTCTAGGCACTTACTTGGAGTTCAGTTTTCTTGGAATGAAGGCCAGCAGAGACTGTGGTGTCTTTATGATACATGGTTGTGAGCGCATACCCCATAAGCATGGAGGAGCTCACTACATTAATACCACAACAGATTTTGCTCTCCATTAGTCACAGGTTTGGATCCAGCACAGAGCAAGCTAGTCTCTGTGTCTCCAGCTTCTAGCCTACTTCCAGCAGTTCACAGACAATGCACTCCTATTGTTCTCTCCACCTGGCAGCTTTGAGGTGAGGCTCACCCATTAGCCTGGATTGCATCATCTTTTAGTTGTAGCTCCTGCAACCGAGCTCATTCTTTTGAGATGCTGACACTTAAATGGCCAGCTAAGACCATTATCTTACAAAGAAATCTGTCTGACCAGTTCAGCAAACTTCTCTTGTCAGATTCTAACCTCATTGGGTACAGGACCCCCAAGAACTGGAAGGGACTTGTGACATCATCCAGACTGACTCCTCTTCAAACTTACAATACTATCTGGGATCTTTCTTTGCAGGCTCAAAGACATACCATGGCTGCTGCTCAGTGAAGCCTTTCCTAGGAGCTCAGCATACAATGTTGGCTTCCAACTGGACCCTGCTCCACCCTTCCACCTTCATCTTAGTGGGAATTCCAGGCCTGCAGGATGTTCAGATCTGGATCTCCATCCCCTTCTGCTGTCTCTACATCCTCACCCTCCTTGGGAATTGTCTCCTCCTGGTAGTTGTCAAGAGAGAGCCGAGGCCTCCATGAGCCCATGTACTTATTCCTCTGCATGCTGGCAGGTGCTGACCTTGTGGTCACCACCACAATTGTGCCCAAAATCTTGAGCATTTTCTGGTTTGGCCATGGAAGCATCCATATAAATGGCTGCCTGGCCCAAATCTTCTTGCTCCACTCCTTCTCAACCATGGAATCTGGGTTCATCTTGGCCATGGCCTTTGACCGCTACATGGCCATTTGCAAGCCCTTGAGACATGCAGCGGTCCTGACCAATGATGTGGTTGCCAAGATGGGACTGACCATCGTGCTACGGGGGACCATCCTCCTGAGCCCTCACCCTTTCCTCCTGAAATGGCTCCCGTATTGCAGAGGCAATGTCATCTTACACACGTACTGTGAGTTCATGGCTCTGATGAAGCTGACCTGTGTGGACACGGGGGTAGAGAGGGCCTACAGTCTCCTGGTTGCTTTTCTAACTGGGGGGCTGGACTTGGTGTTGATCATTGTGTCTTACATCCTCATTTTCCAGGCTGTCTTCCAGCTCCCTTCCAAGGAAGCACGGGTAAAATCTCTTGGCACCTGCGGCTCTCACGCCTGTGTCATCCTGGTCTTCTACACTCCAGCGTTTTCTCCTTCTTAACCCACCGGTTTGGTCACGTGGCTGCCCATGTCCACATTCTGGTAGCAAATATATACCTGCTCCTTCCACCCATGATGAACCCCATTATTTATGGAGTAAGGACCAAGAGAATCCAGCAGGGTCTCTTCAAGATCTTCTGTGTCAAAACCAGATAAAAGGCCAGGAACTTGGAGCATCTCTTTGAGTTCAGCTGCATCCAGTTGCAGGAAACCACAGACAGAAGAGAGGGCTCTTCATTCTCTGCTTCCTGGTTTCCACAGGGATCTGGCGGGACACTGTGAGAACAGGCCGAGAACTAGATTGGCCATTGGCCTAATCCAGGAGTCTCTTCTTAGATTCTCATCCACCTATGCTCAACTTGTATAGAGGTATAACTAAAGCAGTATATCACACAACACCAGTCAGCCTCTAATGACCTCTTGCCAAAAGAACAGGAGTAGTGCAATAGCTTATCCACACTCAGTTTTTGGCCCTCTCTTTCCAGGCAGAGCTTTAACGCTCCGTGTCCAAACATGTTTTCTCCACCCTGCAAAAGCCTGCTCTTTAAAGCTGAATTCTAGATTTTGGAGTGCCCCCCCTCAAAAAAAAATTAGAGGCAGTTTTGGCACCAACTCTTAGGTCATTTCAGCACCATGTAAAGGCATATTTGCTTTTCCTGGGATTTTTGTAGATCGAGAGTGGATGGTAATAATGGTTTAGTTGCTCATTATTTTTAACTGACTTTGTAATTTATGCTGCTTATATGAGTGTGCTTATTTCAGTTTGTGCATATTTCAGAGTCAGAGGGAGGGAGGAACTTCCCATTGGCGTTCAAAATGCTGCGGAAGCCGGAAGGAGGATTGGACTAGCCAACTGCCCTCCTTGCGGAGAGCTGTGCATTTGTGTTCACAACATGATGCTGTAATAAAAAGACTATAAATCTATCAACTGCTTGTTAATTCTTATCTGTGAAGATACCAAAGGGAGGGGAGGATTCTCCACACCTGACACAAGGAGGCAAATGTCCGGTGGCAGCAGCTGAGCATAAGAACATAAGAAGAGCCTGTGCTGGGTCAGGCCAGTGGCCCATCTACTCCAGCCTCCTGTTCTCACAGTGGCCAACCAGGCGCCCCTTATGGGTAACCTGTAAGCAGGATTCAAGCATAAGAGCAACTCTCCCCTCCTGTGGTTTCCAGCAACTGGGATTCAGAAGCATTCAACTGTGGAGGCAGAGCTTAGTCATCGGGGCTAATAGCCATTGATAGCCCTCTCTTCTAGGAATGTGTCTAATTCTCTTTTAAAGCCATCTAGATTGGTGGCCATTCCTGCCTCCTGTGGGAGGGAGTTTCATAGTTTGACTGTGCACTGCACAGTTTTTCTCCCTCTCTTCTAACACCTAGCAATCGTGGAGATCCAATGACACTAAATGTTGGAAGATTCAGGACAGATAATGAATCTTCCAACATTTCGCTTCATTGGATCTCCACGATTGCAGGGTGTTAGAAGAGAGGGAGAAAAGCTTTTCACTGTCCCATGCAAAATTCTATAAACTAAGATTATGTTGTCTCTTGCTCACTTTTTCTCTAAACTCAAAAGCCTCAAATGCTGCAACCTTTCCTCAAAGGAAAGCGCACCTGGGCTCAATATTGCACCCCAGTGGATACGGCTGAAGAAGTAGGAAGGGCCACAAATCACAAGGTCATATCTGAAACAATTTTCATTGTTTACTGAGGCAAACCAGGTAATGCAAATGCAATTATAAAGTGGATGTAGCCAATAAGGAAGAAGGTAAAAAGCCCAAACATGGATGGTGAATAAAATGATCGGCATCCGTCTGTCCCAGGAGACAATGGAGGAGTGCACCTTTGAAGGTGAAGTTGGAAGATTGCAGCACCTGCTGTGGCTGCAGAGACTGATTCAGGAGGGACATGTTGTGTTGCAGGTGGGGCAGATGAAGGTGTCTGGTTGTGCTGCTGCAGATGCACAAACTTAACAAGGAATTGGGTAGAAATTTATTTTTTATTTATTAAATTTGTACACCACCCTTCATCCAAAGATCACAGGGCGCTTCACATTAAAATACAAAATGAGAACACGAAATATAATAATAAAACCAAACCAAACCTATAACCCTACTCCCGAGAAATAAATGGGTATTTTAGATTCTAAAGCCTTGGGACAGGGACTGCCTTATTAGTGGTCTTTGTAAGACACTCTGGGAAGTCTTTTAAATCTTAGACACCTGCTGCTCTCTCCATCTACCCAGGACATGGATCACGACCTCACCAGGAACGTAAGATGAGCCTTGCTGGGCCACAGCTGTCCTCATCTGACCCAGAGTTCCCAACCATCACCACTGAAACTGTTGCAGAGTGGCTCCCCGCCACCACCCCTTTGCCAGCAAATTTCAGAAAAGCAGAACAGGTTCTAAGAATGAGGAGCTGGTCCTTCACTTGGAGAATATCTGGATTATCCTGGCCCGAATCTGCTTTGTTTTCACACTGTACACAACTGGGTTCATTAGGGGTGGCACCAGCAGGTAAACATACCCCATGAAAATGCGGATGAGGAGAGGAGAATCCTTCCCAAACCTGTGAATCACTGACAAGCCAATCATGGGCATGTAGAAGAGCAAGACGGCGCAGATGTGGGAGACGCAAGTGTTGAGGGCTTTGAGGCGCTCCTCCCGCGAGGCGATGCTCAGGACCGTCTTGAGGATCATGATGTAAGACAGCAGGATCAGGAGCGAGTCCACGCCCACCGTGGAGACGATGACGAACATCCCGTAGATGCTGTTGACCGTGATGTCTGAGCAGGCCAGCTTCATCACCTCTTGGTGCAGGCAGAAAGAGTGGAAGAGGACATTGGC